GTAAGCGCACTCCGGATCTGTTTTAGGGCTCATTCACACGGCGGGGGGGGGGGTGGTGGTAAAAGCAGGCGGTTGAGCTTGGTTTTACCAACTACCTAAACCACTTCAATACCGGGCACTTTCACCCCCTTTCTGCCAAGGCCAATTTTCAGCTTTTAGCGCTGTCACACTTTGACAATTGCGCGGTCATGCAACACTGTACCCATATGAAATTTGTATATTTTTTTTTAGAGAGAGCTTTCTTTTGGTGGGATATAATACGAGGGACTCATACCATTTTTTGATTGGGAAGTACCAATACTTTCAGTTAAACACTCGCTGACACCGAGTACCGATACTTTGCGGTGCGATTTGTGTCAATGCAAAATTATGTATGGATGCCGATTGCACCACAAAGTATAGGAATGCGATTCCTGTCCAAAGTGCATGCTGTTTCCCTACTGACAGGCATCGCTGATGGGCACACCAATCAGCTGTGTTCAATCCCAGTGGCCCTTTACCAGCTGTGTCCAATCCCTATTGCCCTTTACCATTTGATAAGCTGTGTCCAATCCCAGCGGCCCTTTACCTTATGATCAGGTCCAATCCCAGTGGCCCTTTACCATGCGATCAGCAGTGTCCAATCCCATTTACCATGTGATCAGCTGTGTGCAATCCCAGCGGCCTATTGCCCTTTACCATTTGATAAGCAGTGTCCAATCCCAGTCGGCCCTTTACCATGTGATCAGCTGTGTGCAATCCCTATCCCAGCCAGCTGTGTCCAATCACAGTTTTACCTTATGATCAGCTTTATGTCCAATCCCAGCGGCCCTTTACCATGCGATCAGCTGTGTGCAATCCCAGCGACCCTTTACCATGCGATCAGCTGTGTGCAATCCCAGCGGCCCTTTACCATGCGATCAGCTGTGTGCAATCCCAGTGGCCCTTTACCATGCGATCAGCTGTGTGCAATCCCAGCGGCTCTTTACCATGCGATCAGCTGTGTGCAATCCCAGCGGCCCTTGACCATGCGATCAGCTGTGTGCAATCCCAGTGGCCCTTTTACCATGTGATCAGCTGTGTGCAATCCCAGCGGCCCTTGACCATGCGATCAGCTGTGTGCAATCCCAGCTGCCCTTTACCATGTGATCAGCTGTGTGCAATCCCAGCTGCCCTTTACCATGTGATCAGCTGTGCAATCCCAGCGGCCCTTTACCATGTGATCAACTGTGTGCAATCCCAGCGGCCCTTTACCATGTGATCAGCTGTGTGCAATCCCAGGGACCCTTTACCATGTGATCAGCTGTGTGCAATCCCAGCGGCTCTTTACCATGTGATCAGCTGTGTGCAATCCCAGCGGCCCTTTACCATGCGATCATCTGTGTCCAATCCCAGCTGCCCTTTACAGCAGTGTCCAATCCCAGAGGCTCTTTACCATGCGATCAGCTGTGTGCAATCCCAGCGGCCCTTTACCATGCGATCAGCTGTGTGCAATCCCAGCGGCCCTTTACCATGCGATCCAATGCGATCAGCTGTGTGCAATCCCAGCGGCCCTTTACCATGCGATCAGCTGTGTGCAATCCCAGCGGCCTTTACCATGCAGCTGTGTGCATCCCAGCGGCCCTTTACCATGCGATCAGCTGTGTGCAATCCCAGCGGCCCTTTACCATGCGATCAGCTGTGTCCAATCCCAGCGTACCTTTACCATGTGATCAGCTGTGCCCAATCACAGTATAAACAGACTTTCTGGTTATCGGCAGTCCTCTCCCTCCCGTGTGCATGTGCTATAGAACACCTCCCTCCTGGGAGATGAACTACCAATTGTGCCCCCCTTGCATTTATATTGATTCTGATAATTGCACTGTATTTATTTGCTACACGCAAAGTATTGTATTCAATTGTATAGGTAAGTATGGTTAAAGGGGGAGGTGTCTTGTAGTACACACACATATATTTGAAAATTATGTGTGGGGGACAGTGTTTAAAACACATGATATACAGCATTCACATCGCACAGATTCAATTGGAAGTGTATCTCCAGGAGGGAGGTGTTCTATAGCACATTAGTAGAGTTATGTATTAATCACACACGGGAGTTACAATAAGCACTGATAACTAAGGGAGATGGTTAAATAGGAGGGAGGTGTTTTGCAGTGCTTCACCAATATCTGTGGTTTTCTTGTGCTCACTGGACATATTTCATGCCTCTGTTGGGGGCGTCTGGTGTGTTTTTTCTGCCTCTAAGCTCCCCTGCATGTTAGCTGTGTCCCTTTACCATGTGAAAGACCCCGATGCCAACTCCAGGGGGCAGCATTTTGGCAGGAAAAAAAACTTGACCACAGCGGCCATGCGATTAGTTTCTTCATCGCATGATCAAAAATTAGTGAAGCGCTTGTATCACATGAATACAATCATGTATCTCCATATAGTGTAATTATAAATCAAAGTGACCACTATATATAATAAATGTGTGTTGACTCCCTCTAGTGAAAAGAAAAAATAGTGTCAACCAAAATAGCTAAATAACACACATTAGGAAACTGTGTAAATCAAATATAATGAACAATCCCCACATACAATGGTGTCTAAATTATACATAAATTATATGCCATAAGTGAACAAGACAATATCAAAGGTGAAAAAAATATTCCATGCATGTGACTGTGCTTTAAGCTGGAACACACACGGATCTCCACTTCTTACTCTCCTTCAAATGGCAGCAATGCCTGATCACCTCCCTTCCTGACCCACACAGGGCAAAGCAGTTACCACCTCAGGTGTATTCCTCTGCAGACTCCTTATTCCATGCAACTCATAAAAAGACAAGAAAGCCTTCCATAGTGTAGTAAATTTAATAGGCAAAGTTTAAAAAAGTTACCCACTCACATGCTCCTTTCCATAAAAAAGCGTTTTTCCCAGCCTGTGGGTAAGATATGCATGCACCTGGGGGAATCCAATATGCCACTGTGTCCGGACACGTCACCAGGAAGTAGACAAACCGACGCGGCCCTTCATCAGGGTTTACCGCCCCCTGCGGTATTTATAGAGGAAAAAAAAAAAAAAAAAAAAAAAAAAAAAAAACCTAATTGTTCCATTGCAGGCATACCCATCTTATTAGAGTCCTGCACCACATACATTCTATCCCATATACGAATCAGTGCTGGATACCAGAATAAATCTCCATATGTCATATTTCAAGATATACACATATAGGAGAACAAATTATATATTTAAGCCTATATGAACCACATCTACATCTTTAATGGTGCAATAACACCAAATCATAAACTTTATTAATCATAAATATTAAAACCATTAATCTAGTGGGCTTCCTTATTAAGTAATATATAAAACATAAAAAAAAAAAAAAAAACGCATGAGGGTACATGTCCCTCATGCGTTTCCAAAAAAAAAAAAAAAAAAAAAAAAATAAATATAAAAAAAATAAATAAAAATAAAAATAAGATAAAAATAAAAAATAAATAAAAAGTAAATCATTAATAAATAATGAATGATGAGGGTACAGTTCCCTCATGCGTTTCCAAAAAAAAAAAAAAAAAAAAAAAAAAAAAAAAAAAATATAATAATATAAAAAATAAATAAAAAATAAAAATAAAATAAAAATAAATAAATAAAAAGTAAATCATTAATAAAAAAAAAAAAAAAAAAAAAAAAAAATAAAAATATATATCTACACGACCTTTTAATTCGATTAATTGCTCAAAGAGCTCATTAAATACCGATTTAAAAGAACAATTTAAAAATAATAAATAAAGTGGCATGCACAAATACCAATAGCTTGGGTTTACAAAAATACATTCGTTATACCAGAATTAAAAAATATAATATGTAAGTTAATATTACCAGAGATATTTTATATGTAAATTGCTGTTACCAGATCAATTTTCAACATTTAAAATTCAAATTTAAAATCGCTAATATAAACAGTTGAGATCAAACTCAATATTAAGGCCATGCGGTGCCTGTGTATGTGGTATCATCCATCTCGACTCTGCCTGACTAAGGGATTTAATCTTATTACTACTCCCCCTCCAATGACTCACATACTTCTGTATACCCCAAAAATTTGAGTCTAAGGGTCTTTTATTAGCTGTTTTAAAAAGTGCCCTCCTATGTTTAGGGAGTACATGTTCCCTCATGCGTTTCCACACCTTTTAGTTCTTCCTATATTGATAACCACATGCACATGGCCATAAACTACTCCCTCTGTATGGCATGAAATGAAATCTTTGATCTTATATATTGTGCCATCATAGTTGGCCTTGAAAGTGTTACATTTGCCGTTTTTTCCTTTGGTTGCTCTGCATGCGTAACATTTTCGGCACGGAAAAAAAAAAAAACCTACTTGGTCAGAAATGTAATGCTCTTCTTTTTGACTGGTGGATCAAGTACATTTTTTAACTAGTTTCGTCCTCAGGGAAGGGGCCTTCCTATATATAAATTTTGGATTATCTCACCAAAATCTTATTTAGATCAGGGTCCGTTTTAAGAATAGACCAATGTTTAGAAAATATTTTCTCGATTTTTTTATAATGGGAGTCAATAATTGTTTTGAACTCTCAAAGTTCTCCTTTTTATTTTTGTCTACAATCAGTGACTCCCTCTCCATATTTTGAACTTCAATTATTCTCTTCTCTATTTCTTTCTCAGGGTAGCCTTTTTTGATAAACTTATCTCCTAAAGTCTTTGCTTGTTTCTTGTACTCTTCCTTATCAGTGTTCTCAACCTCACTAGCTGGCCCTTTGGTATATTAATAGAGCCATGGCGGTAATGGCAACTGTCTGATGGTATGAATCCATTACGATCCACTTCTTTAAAATAAGTATTTGTGTAAATTTTCCCTTGTTGATTCATAATGTTAAGATCCAAAAAATTAATCCTCTCATTATCAAAGGTCCAGGAAAATTTAATATTTTTCGTATTATTATTTAATCCATTCAAAAATTAATCAACATTTGTCTACTTCCCTTCCAAATGATGATAACATCATCAATATATCG